TATCTCATAGAAACAGATTACGGATCGTGTAGCTTTTCGCGAAATTCCGAAAACAACAACAACAACCCTCTTTATCCAGAACAAGTTTGATATTATACTATTCTTAAACAGACAGGATGGTATGTATAAATTAAATAGATGTTTGGATAAATTACTATACATACAGGAAGACGAAAAATATACATTTCAAATTTATTGATTATCAAATTGAGAGCAGAATCAAACTAATTTAATTACACTACATGTGTACTTTTTATACCATCAGTAATTAATTAACTAGCTGTTCCACACCTTACACCTTATACTTATCGATCGTCAGTTAAATATACTGACTCTCCTTGACGCCAAACAAAACTCGGTGAAAGTACTAATCCACGCCTTGACTACAACCCCTGAAAGAAATCTAAAGACACTGGTCCACGCCTTACACCCTCCCCGAAATAAATTTTAAAATGCTGATCCACGCTATAGGCCAGGTGGTTAGGGAGTTCGACTCGCAATCTGCGGGTCGCGGGTTCGAATTCCCGTCACACCAAACCTTTTAGCCGTAGAGGCGTTATATAGTGACAGTCAATCCCACTATTCGTTGGTAAAAGAGTAGCCCAAGAGATGACGGTGGGTGGTGATGACTAGCTGCATTCCCTTTAGTCTTACACTGCTAAATTAGGGACGGCTAGCGCAGATAGCCCTCGTGTAGTTTTGTGCGAAAATTCAAAACAAACCAACAAATCCATGTTGTTTACTTACGATAAAACAAAACGAGGGTTGATTTACAATTATACCCAATAATATAATCAGCAAATCCAGCAAAAATCAGTTCCTCTCATCACAATATACTGATTCAAGCCTTGCATTTCAAGGAATCAATTAAGGCATTGACCCAGAGCTCGTGGTTAGTAAAAAGAACTAAAAAAATGGCCCACGCTTTACACCCACCAATAGTGAGCCCAAGATGTTAATTCACATTTGCACCTAAGGTATTTTCTCATCTTAATTCAATCGATAATAAAGTTAGGAAAAACAAACGACCTTTATAATCCAGATAATTATAAGAGAACGTTTATTTTAACCAGTTAATCTTTTAATTATCTGGAGTGTTAAGGTCTTTTTTTTTTAACTTTATTATCAAAGCGTGTTACTCAGTGGCACAGCGGTATATCCACGGACTTATAGCGCAGTTTCAGTACCCGTGGGGAGCACAGAAAGCCCATTTTGTAGCTTTGTGCTTAACTTCAAACAAAGACAACATATAATTCATTCGAGATATTACATTAAAAAAAAACACTTAAAAAATCTGAACCTGTAGCTTTATTTATTTTATGGTTCTCAAACAGTGATATGTTGTGACATTTTATCTATTGGCGTTGTAACCCAAAACTTAAATGTGCCCTAATTTCAGGATGAATGTATGATTAATAATTGGAAGTCCTGTTCTTAAATGGCAAAAGAATAACAAACGAAGACGACAGCAAATGAGGTGTAAAAAAAAAAAAAGAACTGACAACAAGGAATCACATGGTGGGACAGCGATAAGTTTACGGATTTACAACGCTAAAATCCGAGGTTTCGATTCCCCGCGGTGGCTTTGTTCTAAAACTAACAAACAAAGACAAGAACACTGCAACTCTGACTTTAATGGTGTGTTCACGTAGTATCTGGGTGATTTTATTCAAGTAACTACTACTCATTATGTAGCTTGTTCTGTGTATAGTTCAATGATTTATTGGTTTGTTTATTTTTAGAGCAAAGCGGGAAATCGAACACCGTATTTTAGAGTTGTAAATCCGTAGACTTCCCGCTGGGGGGGGGAACAATGATTTGTTAAATTAATGTTTAATTCGTTCGTTAGCGTATGTATTTTTGGTTTTCGATTTAACCAAGATTTACATTTCGAGAAGTTTCCGAGTACATAATACTCAAGCACGAATTGAAATGATTCGGTGCGATTTAAATTCATGAGTTAGTACTCGAACAGCACTAACTCTGAAAAATATTATCTATAATGCAAACTGTTACTTCACGGGGAACGAAACCTGATTTTTAGCGTTACAAGCCTTTAGACTTGCCGCCGAGACTCTAGTTGGAGGTATTCGTTGTGTTTTCTCATTATGAGGGGGGAGGTGGAGAGTTCCTGTTCACCAACCAGTATATTCCATTCCCTGTGTTTCTTCATTATAGGGCAGGACAGTTTGCGTTTACCAACGGTATATTGTACTTCCCGTATTTTTTAAGATTGAATTGTATTGCTGGTGTTTGATTTTTCTTTTTCATTTAATGACTTAGTTTAAATTTCCGACAGAATAAGAAAGTAACATTTATTTATTTTTTTATGTTGAGCTTAAACAAAGATAGTAAAATAACTTGTTTATATCGTATTAGATGTCAACCAAAACAATTACTCTGTTTAATATAAATGCATCGAGTCTTCTGATTTGTCACGTACAACATCATTAGTTTATCTGGACGACAGTGGGCCGAATCTTCTTCTTTTTCTCTTCCTTTCATTCGAAATATTCAACAAGAAATGTTTTTCTTGCCTTAAGGGACATCGAATGAACTGCACACGCGTGCACACACCGTGTTAAATGATGAAGTGGGGTGGGCAACTGAGTTTTAGTCTTGTGGAAGACGTAGACGAAAGGATCAGGTAGAAATGGAGGACGAAGATAATTTCGAATATAATTCACGTTGCTCCATTTAGTTTCGTCACCTTGTACAAAAGTAGACGTTCGTTTAATAATCAAACTGAACAGAAAACATCTGAGACGAACAGTAGCAGTGAATAAACATGCTTGAGAAGGTGTATAGAAGGGCGGTGTTAACAAGACCTTACCTTAGCACGTCGAAACAAGCTTCTTTTTTCTTTCTGTTTTTTTTTTTGTAGATGTGGATAATAAGCTCGTTAAGTAACCTTTAGTGCAATTTCACATTGAAGAAGTAATCTAAAAAAGCTTTGTTTCGGACCAAACACAAAAGCATAAATTATGTTTTCTAAGTTAGGACAGAACTGTTAAGTTGTTTGTTGTTAAATATAAAGGTGCACAATGAGCTATCAGATGCTGTGTGTCCACCGTAGGGATCGAACCCTAAATGGTTGCGTTATATGCGTTCAAGCTTACTGTTGAGCCACTTACAAATAACCCGTAAGTCTACGCTGATTGGTTATGCTTTTTATATCACTATAAGTTAAATAACATCTTCAAGGTACTGACATAATGAAGCGATCCATGTTATGTTGAATCACCACATAGAAATACTGGGGATAAATCTATAAGTAACAGACTGTTCATTTAGTGCACTCGGTAGATTGTATTGCACTCTATCGCTGTCAGTGTGAAACGGGTATCCTAAACCGACGCCTGTATGACGTAATTTTCAACTACGAGTTTAATGACTTGGATTTCCCCAAAAGATTGGCGTGCGTCTGGGAAAACCCCGTTCTGTCACCAAGGCTTCTAAACGCTTTATAGCCCCCTTAGTGGCAGGAACACTGACGCACTTAGTTTATTTTCTAATTACTTTGTATAATTGATACACAAACTTCACACTGAGCCGAATACACTAAATTCACACTAAGCCTGATACACTAACTTAAACTGAGTCTGAAACACTAAATTCAC